TTAAAACGTTGTATTCGATTAATTCTAAATATATATATATATATATATGAGATTTAAAACGTTGTATTCGATTAATTCTAAACAATATATATATATATATATTGCTACGCAGATCGTTGCATGTACCTAATATTTTTAATACATTCAAAATCTATTCTGTAAACTATTTCTACTATTGACTTGTGAATAAAAAATTTTAATGCAATCGTCCGCGAGAAAATTACCCCGAAAGTTTGCGATTCAGTAAATCCTTCCATATCTTGATTTAATTTCTTGAAATTTGTCTTTATTTGTTATTCCTAAAAATAAGATTAGAATTACTCAATTATTCCTTAGATTTCCATTGTATTTCCTAGGAAAAACCGAATGACTCCGAATTTATTCCGATTTGTTCCATGATAGATGCTCAGTTTCGCTACATTTCGAAGATACGGCGCGCGAGCTTGACGGCGCCCGGCCAGGGACGCTTGATGGCGCTAGCGTCGCGGGTATAAGAGTCGCGTCCGTGAAGCGGCACACTTCAGTAGTGTGGGTGATCGTAGCGGGAGGAGTGTGGCTCCGCGCGCGGCCGCACCGCGAAACCGTGCCCACTCGCCTCGATCACGGAACGTCCACTCGTTTTCACGTCTCGTGCGAAAACATGGCGGCCAGCGACGACGAGCCGATGCATCTCTACGAGGTCTTTCAGAACTGTTTCAACAAGATCGCCAACAAGCAGTCTGGTGAGTGTGCGTCGTCGATAGTGTCCGTGTCTCTCCTCGCGCACGGGGATACCTTGCGCCGTATGTGGCCCGTGTACAGGATAAAGCGACGGACGTCTCTCTCTCTCTGTCCCTCTGTCTCCTTCTCCGGTGTGTCTAGTGTCTTTACCCGGTGCGTCGTGCGTATTTTAAAATCCCGTCGGCGTCTCGGCCGGCGGTCGATCGAGCCCGCGATCGCGCCGAGGATCGGCGCGTCGGCCGATCGTGTCGTTGACGGCCGCCTGGGCCTTACCTCGCTCTGTGTTTTGGTTCGCTTGTCAGTGCCCTGGACAGTGCTGCCCCGTCGACGACAACTAGCGACGAGAGCAACGGCTCTCTGTTTCGTGTTCCCCGCGTCCTGGTTCCTCTCTGACAACTCCACGAGTTATCCCTCCGTCGGCATCGGTTCGTCTTCGCCCTCTCGTGCATCGCGGCGCCGCGCCGCGCCGCGCCGCGCCGGGATACGAATAACATAACCTAGAACGCGTTAGAGAGACGTCCGTCGCCATTCGCTGTCATGTGCAACAGTGTGAGCGATGGAGCGATATGTGCGTGTGTATGTGTGTACGTGTGTATGTGTGCGTGTGTGAATGCGTGAAGCATGCTCGTATGACTGCGAGGGTGAGCGCCGATAGGGAGGCTTCCGGAAAAGAGATGATCCCCGTCGCGATGCTCCGTTCCGCTGCCAGTCGATCTCTCGTATTATCGCGGTTTCGTATCCACGTGCCGGGACGTCACCGCGATCCACCAACGAATCGTTAGTGGTTAATCGCTCGGATGTAATGCGAGAGTCCATAAATCGAATCCTTTTTCCTTCTTTCTCATGTCTCTTCTCTTTTCCCTTATCTTCTCTCTCTCTCTTTCTCTCTCTCTCTCTCTCTTCCTCTCGCTTCCTCAGCAGTCAGCCTCCGCGAACGCCGTTTTTCTTTTATTTCTCGCTTCATACACCTGCCAGAGAAGCAGCCACGAAGCGATGCGCCGTTGCGTGCCGCGGAATCGTGCGTTACCTCTCGAAAGCGGTTCTCATCCTTTGTGAATCTTTTGATTGTCACGACCATGTGTCAATTTCTAGCCCCCGCTAGTTTCTGAATGTCTAACATTTGGCAGGTTGTTTGATAATTTTTACTTATTATTTCAATTAAATGAATACTTGACATAAAAAAATTCCAATACTTGTAACTTCACTAATGTAGTTTAATTTTAATTTCGGTTCAACTAATTGATCTTTTTCTACTTCTGATGCGCGTTTCTATCAATGTAGATTAATTTTAATCTCGATTTAACTTACTTTTTATCGTTTTCTAAGAATTGGAAAAAGATAAAAGAGATAAATTAAACGGGAGATTAATCTACATTGTTGAATCAAGGTTAAAGTTAATCTATTAATAAATTCGTAGAAACGGGTATAAAAGGTGTAAGGTAAATAATTTTAGATTATTAAATTTATTTATTATAGGAAGAAAAGTACAAAACTACTGAAAATATTGATCTTTTATCATTACGATATATTAATTCTTCGCAGCTAAAGTCTTTAAAGGCATTATCGATATTTTGATTGTGAATTTTGGTAGATAAATTTAAATCTGTAAAAAATAAGTAAAATACAATTCGACAGTAAAAACTCGTTGTTAATGCTTCGAATGGTATACCAGAATTTTTTCAGATTTTTATATCATTCGTAACAATAAAAAATTTGCTCTGTTTCCCTGTTGCTGGCGGAAGAGTTAAAATTCATGTTGCCGGCGGAGGATTAAATATTGTAATTAAAATCATTGAAAAATGTAATATTGGCACCTTGCTTGTTTGTATTAAGCCTGCAGCTGTACTTTTTGATCTGTTTTTTAAACGATTATATATATAATCACTGAGAGAAAAATGTAACTACAATTATATGTATTTATACATATAATTACATGTTACCATAATTATGATTTTTACTGCTATAATGTTAGCTTTAATAAGTATATATATTATTAATAGAACTATACATATATATCTATAATAATAATAATTATTATTATTATTATTATATTATAGTAGTAATCGTAATTATAGTATCGTAATTACAGTTACAAATACCAAAAATTTTACTCAGTGTACTTATAAGAGTGATTATTATTATATTTGTTTCTAGTTAATCGAGGTTGAATTATGCTCGTGGTATTACAATGCTTTTTGAAACCGCGAGATTCCCACGTTAATTATCGTTTCTGAATGTGCACAAAGCAATTATGAAATTGCAATGCAGAGAAGGACGCGTTGCGCGGCAATTCACGGCATAGTTGGTTAACTAAATCTCAAATGTTTGTTTGGTTTGAGACGCTGTTTGAAAGGCGACGGGTGCTGTAGGCTCTCTTGTACGCTAAGTTCGGTGCAGCCGAGCAGCTCGGAAAGACCGCAAAAACTACGTTTTGGACGTCTCATCCGAGGCGTTCCCATATATTCCTTTGAAACGCAGCGGGAGCTCTGCGCCAGCTATTCGGTTAAATATAATTTATATCGCGGCATTGCCGTGAAACTTCCTAGGACGACAAACAAGACGGCAGGAAAGGGCAACGTCGACCTCACGAGCCTTTGTACATTAGTTGCAAAACAACGCCTCGCGTAATTTCAGACGGGTCTCACGGAAAGAACGGTTTTGCTGAAGTACGTAAAAATTTAGATACAGATTTGAATATAATTATGTAGGACGGATATAATTTGAGGCTGGTCGCTATAAAAATGTCGAAATTTTTGGTGGTATTGTTATATCATGCTTTTCTATATAATTATTTTGATAGTCCAATAAAGTTATTTCTATATTTAAATCTATATCTGTATAAATGTCAGAATCATTCTTTTTGCGTACTGAAAAAAAAAAAAAACTAAATTTTAATAAATATTTGTTCAAATATATTTCTAGGTATAAATATTTATTAAATATAAACATATATATTTATTTGATATAAAATCTGTTAATATAATTTAACTATCTTCTTATTTATTGAGTAAATATTTATTTATTGTAAGTAAATGTTTACTTAATATTATTCAAAGATATATGTACTAAGATTTAGTAAATTTTTTTGGAATGTACGAAAACACCGAGAAAAATGACTGGCTGGGTTAATTAGAATTCTGGTTGAAAAAGGATTAGAAACAGAATTTTTTTTTAATCTACTAGAATTCTAGCTGAGATAACCGGAATTCTGATTGATAGGATCGAAATCTTCTGATTCGTTCATTTTCTCAGATATTTTTCCTCAGTGAAATAAATAATTATACCGAGTTATTGTTATACGTTAAGTATTGTAAATGAATTATGTTTCTCTCAGTGAGATATTAAATTTGTAGCAAGATATTTGATATCACATTTATCGAATGTCTTCACGTCGGTAGTATTTTAACAACAGAAGATTAAACATCTCCGTTCTCGGCGATCGAAGAACCGTTGCAGGAGAATCGATGGAGTTCGTTATTTACGCTCGAATGTTTCCACCGGGTGTCGGATTCGCCGAGTCTCGTTTCTCATAATTTGATAACTACGAGACAGTTGACTGTCGTCAGTTCGTTTCGGCCCGTTAATCTTGACGATTGTCGTTTCGCGTCGGAAAGACCTTCGTCGCGGATCTTTCTGCGCCGCGCTCGTTATTAAGGCTCGTATTACTTTGCGTACCATACTTAACGAGCCGTATTACAGCGGTCGCGAGCCTTCAATTTACGGCATGATAGCTCTGTATGCTATTTTGCAAACAGTGCGTATTAAATTTCGG